AGTAGGCTTTCGAGCCTATACAGCTTGGAGTAAGACAACATGCATGAAGAGGATGATGTGGACAAAATACTCATTTGCCTAATAATTCTGCACTCCCTGCACTGTTGTTGCCTGTGTATGCTCATCTACCTTTGTCGAATCTCCCTCCAGAGTCTTAGCACAGGATCTGACTTTCTGGATGAGCTTCGCTATGCCACATACAAGTGTCTTCCAGCTGGAAAAGCTCTCAAACCTGTGTGAACCAAGCAGTCTTTCAGAAGCTTTCGTAGAAAAGGTTGCAATCAGTGGACGCACATCTGCATTCTTTTCTGGTTCTACAAGCTCAAAGAACTGTGGTGGAGTAAGTGTAACTCCCTTTTCATTTTCAAGAACATCGGCCCAGAAAACCAGTTTGTATCTCTCAACTGTGCAGCTGGAACTGGTCTTGTACCAGGATTGTGTTCCGAACTGAGAAAGTGCCACTGTTCAGGCTGCGAAGACTTCCGGATGCGTGCTACTCAGTTTGCAACATACACATAAAACCTTGGGTTGGCGTTGTAGATGTAGCCCAGCACAACTCTGGAGTCGGTGTAAAACTTCACTTTGTGGATTTCGACATCTAGCTCATCCCTCAAGATATCAGCCAGCTCAACTGATAGTACGGCTCTAGACAGGGCACAGTATAGGAATTTAGATTTCCCTATGCAGAATCCTACAAGACAGTGTCCTTCATCATCAACTGTTCTGAGGTAGGCATCTGCCAGAGATGGCCATGGTGGACGCGTCACAAAAGACACATAACTCCCTGTGCTGTGCGGAAAGCAGGGGAAACAGGTAGATACTGCCTTGGTATGTGAAGTTGCTCGAGTGCCTTCAGTGAGTCTCTCCAAGACTACCCCTTTTTCAGCAGGTATTGGGGTGTCCCAATCGCAATGCTCCATGCATAGCTCTCTGACTATAGCCTTGCCCTGAACTACTATTGGAGTTGCAAACCCCAACGGGTCAAATATGCTGTTAACTGTGGAGAGAATACCTCTACGGTTAAAGGGCTTCTCTTCCTGGGAGACAAGAAAGGTAAAGCTGTCGGTTTGAAGGTGGCAGTTGAGACCCAAGCTTCTCTGCATAGGCAACAGATCCACACCTAGCTCTAGGTCATTCAGCTCTTTAGCACATTCCTCAGGTGGAAACGCCTCCACTACTATGTTGTGGTTGGAAGCTATCTTATGTAGCCGTATGTTGGAATCAGCTAACATTTCCTTGGTTTCCTTCAGGACTTGGATGGCGTTCTCATTGGTGGAGAAGGAAGCAAGACCATCGTCCACGTAAAAGTTCTTTAGAACAAACTCTTTTGCCTCTGCACTGTGTTCTTCCTGTCCTTGCAGAGCTGCTCTTCTCAAGCCGTATATGGCAACAGCGCGAGAGGGGCTGTTGCCGAATACGTGCACGGTCATCCTATACTCCGTGATGCGCTTGGTGGGGTCATTGTCCTCAAACCAGAGGAAATATAGGAAGTCCCGGTGATCATGGCAGACTTTGAAACAATAGAACATCTGTTCTATGTCTGCTGCCACCACTACAGGTTCCTTGCGGAAGTGAATGAGGACTCCTAAAAGTGTGCAGCAAGAGTACTGACAGGGACTAGAAAGAGAGAGCATATTTCTCCTGTTTTGGCTTCCCTTCATTGGCTTCCTGTTAAGTCCAGAATTGAATTCAAAATCCTGCTCCTCACATACAAGGTCTTAAATAATCAGGCCCCATCTTATCTTAATGACCTTGTAGTACCATATCACCCTAT